TGAATCTATGAATCTACCGCCCTTTCCTTAAAGATTATGTAAATATTGTAATTTTACCACTTTGTTGTAGAATGTAGATTATATAGTAAAGCGAAAAATGAACCTCTACAAGGTTTGTACAAAACTTTTTCCCTCCTTCAGACACGTAAGTTAAACAGCACTGTAGCAAAGTTCATATTCCCAATGCAACTGGACAAAAACCTTCCATTGAAAACCTTATCTATTGCTTTATATCTACTATAATTGAAAAGCGAGTGTATCTGTTGACTCAACTTGACTGTATGTTTTATTTCATCATGTTTTGTTGTGACCTGCTCTCAGACTAGAGGACCACAGGGTGATTACAGGCTTAGGAGTCTGGTTCAGGTTTTCACTTGATAACCATCTCTCTGTACATGATATAAGATTGAAATCTGACATTTACATTTCTCTGGACATATGGGTGCTCATGACTTTCTCATGGTATAGTTCAGACCCGAATGTTGCATCCACAATCATGGTAGAATAAGACATAGCTATGGGCACACCCCCTGTCGTTTAAGTCTTCATTTTCTATGATACTACTCTTTGAAATAAAAAAAATGATAAATGGTAAACAGCCACCAGCATTTATTCTAGATGCTACAAGCAAGCTGAATAAACATGTTTTCATCTATTTTGTTAACAAGTTTACACATAGCAATATACTTGTTTACCTAGACTTGAGCTAAATAGTTAATCATATCATGTCAGAAGGGAACACATGGGGTAAGCTTGGCTGTCATTGATGTATAAAAAGATTTGATACATGTATAGTGTTTCTATTACTTCAACAGTAAACTTGATCTTATATACTGTAATTCATCATTGATGAAATTTTTTCTGTGGTGGGATTTATACTGATGTAAGTATGTCAAAATATTATATCATCATGTTTACACTTGTGCATTCGATTATGAAGTTTCTTGTATTACAGTTCAATCTAAAACTGTTCTGCAGTTAGTGTTCCCAGTAACCTTTCACACCTCCCCCGAATCACACATCTATAGATAAGGCCTGTATGCAATGCCAAATAAAACTGCTTAACTGTGTTTCTAATTTACTCCTTCACACTCTGCACTTAGTTTTCCGATCATTACAACCTTTATCGCAAATCACTGTGGTCCCCTAGGGCGCACTACATAAGATGGAGTGTGCCGTGAAGGGAAGCTGTTTGCGGCTCTCCTGTACGGATGTGACCACATTCTGTGCCCAGGCATCCTTGGCATCCTCGGGGATGCCTGTGCCCGTGCATGCATCAACAATCTCGCCAAGTGCCTGTGCCCGCACCTGAGCCTGCACCTGTCCCAGCATCTGTCGGGTAGCCACCTGGGGGAGCTGATACGTGTATACAAGCATCCAGCCGTGCTTGCCAAGAACCTTGTGAAAACAGTCTTTGAGGAGGAGGAAATGCGGAAGTAGAACTTAAAGGGGTGAAAGAGAAAGAGGCATTGAATCCACAAAAGCAAACCACAATGACTGTAAAACCCTGTGTTCAGGGTAGCTTTGCATGTTGTGATGAGATATTGAGTAATGTGTGGAGATTGTATCGAGATTGATGGCTGGTGTAGGTACCTTACAAAAAAAGGAAACAAGGAAAGGCAGAAACTGACCAGTAAGAAATCAGTAGTTTTGTTTCAACGGATTAGTATGCTCTTACATTTGATGAATTTGGTACAGAGGTGGCCATGAAAACAATGAAAGTACCATACCATGTGGATTTTGTGTTGCAGTGCGAATGCATATTTGATGCGTATTTCGTGGCCTGCAACAAGGACTTCTTCATATTTGATAATTGTAAGGAACTGACTTGTTTTTGAGGTACCTTCCATATTTGGTATTATACTGACACAAATGACCATCTCTCTAAACAGGTCTGGAGAGTGGGAGTTTATGAGGTGTGCAAACCACGCGCTACTGACAATTTCAGGAGAGATCAGTGGACAGACTGTTTTACCTGTTCTGATCTTGCCTTCTACATAAGGAAAGGACAGAGCCTGGCACCTGGTGCCGCAGATATTGAAGATGCAGATGTGAGATGAAACAATTCCCAAGTTAATAAAGGAGATATCTGAAAACATGAATAAATACTATGATGAGCAGGTATGAGTGGTGAGATATTTTTTTTCACATGCGTGTAAAAAGTTGAAAAATTCTTATAGTACATTGGTAATTATCTGCCCGTGCATTTATTCTTCACGGTGTGTGCAAGGAGATGAAGATGTATAGCCGCCATATTCTTCTTTATGATAACAATAGGTTTCTTTAGCTGCTTGTTTATCGAGCTTTTTGATACATTGTGTTTGTCATTTTATTTGATGCGAGAGAGAACTACATTTATTCCCTAAAGGATCACATTCCCAACAACTTCAGAGTGGTGGTCATTGGCTCTACCATGGCTGAAGAGAAGCAATTCAGCAACCTACTCAAAGCCAGGGCACATCAAACCTGATACCGCATACGGCTGTGGGAGGCGTTGCCTATGATGAGCCGCTCTAGTCGCTTCCGACGTGCTTGAATACGAGGTGCATCCAGTGCTTGTCCAGATTAGTCTTGAACTGGTTCACTGTTTTGCTGTTCACTACCCATTCTGGTAGCGAGTTCCACTCCTTGACAATTCTAGTACTGAACACCTGGCCTCTCACTCTAGCTTTTGCAAGGGGAACTTTTAGCTTGTATTTGTGACCTCTTGTTGTTCTACTGTCCAGGAACGAAAAGAAGACATCTGCTCAGACCCTCTCTTGACCAGTTACAATTTTAAACACCTGTATCATCACCAACCTCTTTGTCAGGGCACATTTTACAACAAAGGACAGCAACAACCACCAGCAAAACAAGATTTCACAAGCAGCAAAGATTGTTTTGAGTGACAGAACAACAATTCCTATCAATTTGCTAAAGAATTACCGCAGGGATTCTCGAACAAACGGTGAAAAAATTGCAGACTTTCTGCTCCTAGGCTATGGTGTACACTGGCACTTCGAGAATGACCTGCTGATCCGGCATGATGGCCGTAAAGACAAACCCAATCCATTACATACGCCAAGCTGCAACACTTTAGATCGATCCAGCAAAAACGCAAGTACCGACAGGGAAATTCGAAGCAGTGCAAGCCCCAGTTCCACTCACCACACTCTGGATCTATGAAGGGCAAAAGCTTGTCAAGAAAGCAAAGATTCCGAGATGCCATGTACAGCTTTGGTCCCCAATCGTATCATGACATGCCATCATACCCAGGCACATGTGACACTTTTAATGAAGTGGAAGATGAAAGTAATTTATTACTGCGGATTAAGAAGAGAGAAAAACATTTTTAAAAAGCCCCGGTAGAGAATGTTGACGCTAGTAAATGTCAAGGAAGAAATTTGCATGACTCATGTTAAGGCTGGCGATTGGGCAGATCGCCGAAAAGGCGACAACAGCTTCCATAAAGGAATTCATTTCAAAAGCAACGGCCAAAACAAGGGTGGAGGAGTAATACTGCCTTGAAAACCACGGGCCAGACAGGTTTGCAACAGAAATTATTATTATAATTTATACTGTTGCTGGTTAGTTACTATTTTCATTATCCTGGTCCTAATTTATTGTATCTTAATTCAATTGTGTGCATGGGACTTTTGTATTTTGTTTACTTGAAAACAGTGCTCTGTTCTGTCGTAGGAGCTAGCAGGCCCAAGCCCTGAGAGAGAGGAAGGTCTGAACATTGTGTCTGCTGAGTAAGCTGAACATCTGGTTCGCCACAAACCACAACGCGACATTTGCTCCAGACTACGCTATGGCCTGGTGGATAACTTGTTTCAGATTCAAGCTGAGGTCAAATCGAAGGCGAAGGATGACCTCTTCAAATCGGCGCACGCCATCGTTCAGGAGACGATGTTGGCAAACGTGGACGACACAGCACCCAACCCGGAGGTACCAAGAATGTCAAATCTGGTAAGTTTTATCAATGTTTATGTAAGCACTGTACTCCTTGACAATGATGTCAACTCTGGCGAGTTTTAGTAATGTTAGTAAGCATTAAGATCTGTAAAACAATTTTTCATTTTTCTATCTAATTCGATCTAATTTTCTGTTCCTTTTGTGCTATTTAGACACTTCGACCGAAAGATCCAACATCGCTGGACTTCGCGATGAGCCCAGACCACATCCCACCCGGGTTTCTTCGTGCTGATGTGTACGACAGCATGATCGTTGACAAAATACAAATACAAAAGAAAAAGCACAAGCTGTCATTCGAACCCGGGTCAAAAATAGCCTGGGTACCACCCCCTGTAATATATCGCACGCTCTATACTTGGTCTGGACCCGATTACATATGAAACGATTGGTGATGATGTCAGTAATGAGCTAGCCTGAGCAGCGGGGCTTTATTTGATTGGCTAAGCCTCAGAGCGACGGCCAATGGCGCGCCTCCATTATTCATGTGATGTTTGTTGTTTTGTAAACACAGATTTTCGCACGAGTGTTCCTTTTCTCGGGGCGTTCTTTTTTTACCCGAAGGACGCCCAAAACATCTTTTCCACAATCTTTTTTGGTAATTTTTGAGCGACGATATTCCGTCTATATCGTCCAAAACGCCAGACGTCGCTGTCCAGAGGTAATTGTATAATTAGGTATTTACCGGCTTATCGTAGGGTTATCTGATGATAAGGATTAGCGTTAATGACATTTATCATACATTAAATATGTAGCGGATTATTTTAGCCGTCAGCCTGACAAACATTTTGTTAAGCGTAAACCGTGAAGCTTAAAAAAAGGTAAGAATGAAGTAACACACCGGTCGCTAATCCAGATAAAGGATCTTTAAAGTTAATTACATTATAAATGTATTAAATATGTAGCGGATAATTTTGTCCGACAGCCTGACAAATATTTTGGCAAGCGTAAACCGTCACAATAACAGTGTGGCGTAAAAAAGCTAAGATTTAAGTAACACACGGGTCGCTAATCCAGATCAAAGACCTTCTACATGCCGTGCCTGTTTGTAATTGAACTAAGCTTGTTAAAGTATGTTTATGTAGCAGACAAGTTTAATTATCTCACGTGAGACAATGGTAATAACTGGAAGACAATAGCCTGGGTGTGCACCGCGGTGATTGGTCGACCGTCTAGGTGTGTGTGGTTGGGATTGGTCAAGTAATTAGGCGCGCGGTGACATCGAGTCGGGTATAAAAATGAGAGACCAAAGCGCGAGAATCTAAACTTACCGTGAGCTTGCTGCACAGCTGAGAATGGAGGACAACGGTAGGAAACGCCGCCCGCCAGACGACGACCTTCAAGACACAAAGAGGTGTGTGTGTGTGTTCTTGTTGTCTCATTTTCCTGAATGATTTCTCTGGTAACTGCTTTTCCATTCACTTCGATATCCTGTATTTATTCACAATATTTCTTTATATTTTGTATACTAGGTCTCGCTACGAAGAGATCCTTGCTTCGCTGGATCTGGACAACATCAACTGGGCGCAGGACGAGCCGCGGGAAGGCGATTCGCCTTGGGTAGACCTTCATGGCGTCCAGTGGTCTCAGTCTTTTACACAAGAAACGGCTGAAGAAGAAGAAGGACGCGACATAGAATGGAGCCAGCTGACTCCGTTCACCCAGGAGGTGTCGGGGGGACGAGGTCGACGACGTAGCGTGGAGTCAGCTTACTCCATTTACCCTGGAGTGCCCGGACATGCCGGACCTGGTGACAGATGAGGACGCAGACGAGGAAACGCCGGAAGATGGAGATGAAGTACAGTGGAGTCAGTTTTTCTTTTTTGTTTTTGTTTTTTTATATAATGTGCTGTAGTGAGCAATACCCACTGATTGTACATACACATGTTAAGAATACAATTGACTACATTTACCCAGGACCGCTGGTGCCGGAAGGTGATTCTGGCGACAGACGAAGACTTCGGACTGGAGGACGACCTGCAAGCCATAAGCTGGTCCCAAGACAGGAGTGAGGGGGACTGGTACACGCAACCCGAGACATCCCAAACGTGAGTAAAAATATTTTTACTGGTAGTGTTAGCATATTTTTGATTACATACAAATCCAGGGTAACGGGTAGAATGTTTTTGTATACTTCCACGTTAAACGCGTTCAGTTCTAGATATTTATGGTGTGTATTGTATCTCTTTCTCTCTCAAACAGTAGCCAACCACAGTCTGGGGTAGGGCTCGTAGGTTTAGATTTAGAAGGAATAGATTGGGAATCCGATTTTACTCAGAGTCAAGTTGTAGACGATAGTCAGCCGCAATTAGGGTTAGGGGCAGTAGACTTAGAAGGTGTTGACTGGGAAGAAGAGGAGTTTAGCGATGCAAATGTAGGACAGAACCAAGACGTCGAGATTGAGCAGGAAAATAACAAACCCGCAAACTCACAACAGTACTTTAGAATAGAAGAAGTTAGACAAGCCCCTAACAAGAAATTTAACGCTAACCAGGTCACCATGCGTGCGTCAATACCGCAGGACGGACGCTTGAATGATACTGATGTCCAAGAGGTCTTACATGACATGTTTGATGCAATGATTGATCGTGTTGGTAGGGAGCTTGAAGACAACGACAAGATGCGTATTGTAATTAACTCCAAAAGCCTCGACAAACCAATTTCCACTAAACTTGTGAATAAATCCGACATGAACCCTGAGCTCATACTTTCTGAGGTCGAGAAGGTAATGCAAAGTAAGGAAGATTTTGTTCTCGACGACGATTTCTTTGTAGAGTTGGTTTCAATTCAGATGCCAGAAGAAGGTACTGGTCGCCCCAGACGATTCTTTACCGTAGTCGGTGATTTCGTTCGGGGGAAAAGTCAATCATTAGCATCACTAACAAAGACAATTTGTGTTGTGCAAGGGCCATTGTTGTGGGTAAGGCAAAAAATTGACAATCACCCCGATTGGAATAACATTAGGCAAGGTCG